GGTAATTCTCTAACTTAGGGTCCCTTTGTAGGTCCCCAATATAATACGGCACCCTTCTAAGGGAACCCAAAAAGGTTCCTTAATTCAGAACAAAAGCTGCCCACATGAGGACCATGCGACCAAATTTGGGGTTTGGGATCACTAAGCAACACAATGCTATCTACAGTGTGTGCTGTAAGAGCCATGATACATTATAGTAAAGAGCCCTTTGGGTGCATATTATAACAAAACCCTAAACCCCTTTTACACAATGGCGAATAACTCCGAAGGACAGGCCAGTTCAGGACCCTGCTGTCAAGCCCGAACGAATCCCCGACAGACCCTCTCGCAAAAGCTTATGACACCACTTCTGCAGATGCAATCCTAAACCCTTATCCCCCAAACTGTACACCCTTGTCAAGCCCAGCCGAAGCACCAAAACCTTAAACTTGCCCTAAACCCAAAGGCCTATACCCAAGTGCGGACTAAGGATCTTTATCTTAAGCCCTAACCTTGAGCCAAAACCCCAAAACCCCAAACCTTAGACCCAAAGACCTGACCCCTAAGCAGGTTTCGGGCTTAGGGCTTACTAACCCCCCTGGACCCTAAACCCTCAACCCTAAGACCCCAGGTGCAGACTAAGGATCTTCATAGGCCCTAACCTTAACCCAAAGCCACAAAATCCCAACCCTAAGACCTTACCCGTAAGAAGGGTTTAGGGTTTAGGATTTACTAAACCCTAAACCCTAAACCCTAAACCCTAAACCCTAAACCCCAGGTGCAGACTAAGGATCTTCATCTTGTCCAAGTACTTGTCGAACGTCTGCAACTCGGCCATGCCTGATCCAGGGCTTTGGGTTTAGGGTTTAGGGTTTATAAGGGTTTATTAGGGTTTATTAGGGTTTAGGGTTGAGGATTCCCTTTAGATTTTTTCTTCAAGGTCCATTGAAGGTTCTTCAAAGGGTGCCTTTAAGGGGTCTGTAGGGATTCGACAATAAGGCTTCTAGGGTCTTAAGTTTAGGCCTACGGGGCTTCAGGTTTACTGCTTGGGGGATGAGGGTCTACTGTAGGGCTTAGGGTCCAACCCCCACCTCCCAACTACCCGGAACAAAAACCCAAAGCCCTGAACGAACCATACAGCATGTAGGGTTTAGGGTTTAGGGTTTAGGGTTTAGTCACGGTTTAGGGTTTAGGGTTTAGGGTTTAAGAAACCCAAAGCCCTGAACGAAACATACAGTATGTAGTTTCTAAGGTTAGAAGTATGGGCCCCTAATTTGGATCCTGAGGCCTTTCTAGGGACCCTTGACGGTACATATAGGGTATATAGTAGGTATATAAGGATCCCACCCTTATAAGGGCCCATGCTAGGGGCCCATGGTTTCAAACTCAGAGAGTTTGAGGTGACTGGAAGTTCGCACAGCAGCACTGTGTCAGCCAGCATCCCTGGACATCCGAAGCCGCGCTCCAACAACAAATATCCATGTGCTGAGCGGCTTTCTATCCTTGAAGTTTTCCCGGCGCCCGGATCGTGCAAGATGCTCCGGCCTGTACCACTGGCCAGTGAGGAAGCAAGATCACGGCCTTCGGATCGACATCTCGACCAGCGTCCGCAAAAAAACCCAAAGTCCCGCTGACCGCCTTCGAGAAGCCTGCCCTATGTCCATGGGCCTATGTCCATGGGCCAGCTGGGCAGAGGTGCACAACGAGCAGACGAAGATACCCACATCCTCAGCCAGAGACGAGGTAGATTCTGCAATTAACCCTGGGGCTCCAAATAGCCCAAAGTAGGTTTTATTTGCAGACTTTAGACCCCAAAGTAGGTACTATTTGTATACTTGGAGCCCTAGGGTAAGACTTTATAAGAGATGCGGGTTCGCTACGAACGCCCTAAAGATAGAACCGAGCCCCCCAATTTCATGATGTCCATCAGACTGCTAAGGGAAAGCAGGAAAGGGGCTAGGGCTTCAGAGAGGGCCGACAAGCGCTTCAGGGTCAGCATAGGGTATCTACGTTATTCTATTCGGGTGTGGGCGCGCGTGTCAGGGTTATCTCGATCCGGTCTGGTGGCTAAGACAGGGTTTAGGGTTTAGGGAATCCGAACCTGGTGTATTGGAGAAGCTGACGGGGTGTAGAGTCTAAGTAGCAGGGCGCTCTTTATCCAATCTATAGGACCCAAACCCCCCTAAACCCTAAACCCCAAACCCTAAACCCCTAAACCCCTAAACCCCTAAACCCTAAACCCTAAACCCTATAAACCCTAAAACCTAAACCCTGGAAGCGAGGACCTCCCAGGCGCCCACACTCCTCCACACCCCCCTTATTTAGGGTTTAGGGTTTAGGGTTTAGGGTTTAGGGTTTAGGGTTTAGGGGTTTAGGGGTTTAGGGGTTTAGGGTTTAGGGTTTAATTCAGTTTAGGGTTTAGGGTTTAGGGTTTATAAGGGTTTTTTTTTGTAAAGTGTAGTGGCTCCTTTTCTGCAAAGCAGTCGGGGAACCTGCCTTAGTGCAGTAATTTAGGGTTTAGGGTTTAGGGTTTAATTCAGGAAGGTACTTTAAATCACAATCGGGATCCTCCGTAACTTAAGCATATGGCTTCCCCTGAGGGTCCAAGACCTGTTGATCATATCATCTCCCAGAAACTCAACTACAACAAGCCTATCCTAGAACTAATAAGCCCTAATAACCCTAAAAATCCCTAAACCCTAAAACCCTAAATCCTAAACACAAGTATTTAGTTAGTGAGTCATGGGGACCATCAGGGTGCATAGAAGGATTCGGAGTCTCTGAATTGTTGGTTTAAGGCCTACCTGGACCGAAAGAACCTATCTGTTTAGTGTTCCTTATTACGTATCTAGTTCCTTGAAACGGTCGGTTACGTAGGGTCCAGGTAGGGCTTAGGGTTCAGGGCATAGGTTTTGTTGTGTTGTTCAACGGATTGGGGACTTACATCTATAGTATAGACTTGGGCAAACTCCGAATCGACCTAGTGTGTAGACGAACCCTAAACCTAAACTCCATTCGACCAGAAACCTGCCCATCCGAAAAGCTTTAAAAACCCTCCCACACAGAGATCTGTTCTATCACCTTCTCTTACTTTCTTTTGGCAGGCAGTTGCAGTAAACGTGTACGTTTTAGGACGCGCTACAGTTACCAATGCTGAACTACACGACAGTCACTGACGAGTGTCAATCGTAAACATAGGGTGAGCATTTGGAGTCTGGAGCTGTAGGGGTTTAGGGTTTAGGGTTTAGGGTTTAGGGTTTAGGGTTTAGGGTTTAGAGTAAACCTGCTAAATCTCAACGTAGGGCAAAGTCAGCAACCCAGGCAAGATGGTTTCAGGGATCAGACTGTGTTGGTGAGCACTCTCTTGATGTAGTATTCTACCCTAAACCGTAAACCCATAAACCCTAAACCCTAAACCCCTAAACCCCTAAACCCGAAATCCCTAAACCCTAAAACCCTAAACCCTAAAACCCTAAAGCCCTAGAGCCCTAAAGCCCTAAAACCCTAAAGCCCTAAACCAAGAACTCCCATGAACTACACTAAACACGTTAGGGTCCTTGCAACCCTCAGCCCTCCTTCGAAGGGTTAGCCATAGGTCGAAGATACGTGGCAGGACTGCCGAGATTTCATATCAGGGCCTTCAGTTTGGATAGGGCTTCCGGGATATATTACGGTATAGTTTGATTCTGTTTAAAAATAAAAATACAAACAAAATAGTTAAATGAATATTATCGGACAAGTTAGAGGTCGACAAGGGGATTGTGATTAATTACTCCGACCTCTTGATTTGGGTCTGCGTCTCGGGGTTTGGGGTCTAGCATAGACGTCCCCTGAGCCACTGAAAGGCAGACTCGGTACTGGCTGTGTCTTTGCCAGTTTTAGGGTATAGGGTTTAGGGTTTAGGGGCTTTGTTTTTCCTGAAAGCTGCACCCCGATGCAGGACCGTCATTGCTTACATGGGATGAACCTACAAAGTATCCGTATGTATTCGTGGCCTGGGAACTTGCCAAAAATCTCTGTTCCATGTTCATTGAGGAGCCTACATTGGCCTCTTGCCTATAAAAATCATAACAGTTTCTGTCATCTTCCCTTGCCGGTGCACCTTCTGCAAGCTGCGCGTGGGTCTGATGGGACTTTTCGATGGCGTCGGGATCCTCGGTTTGTATAAACTCGATGACCTCTAGGGTTTGGGGGGTTCCTTATTATAAAAAAATAGTATAGTATCCCCCCAAAAACCTAAGCCCTAAACCCTAAACCCTAAACCCTAAAACCTAAACCCTAAACCTTAACCCCCCAAAACCCTGTTCTAATTATTAAGGCCCCTATCTTAAACCCTAAACCAAGCTCTGGGTGGCTGAAGGGTTGTAGGTTTTTTGTTGGATTCGGACTGGCTTGTAAGTGTTGGTGGCTTAGGGCCTAGGGCTTCGGATCAGGGCTCGGTTTAGGGTTTAGGGGTTTAGGGGTTTTGGGTTTGAGGTTTAGGGTTTACTGTTTAGGGCTTAGGGTTGGAGGTTTCAGGGTTTCATTTCGGGTTCAGGGTTCCTGGATGGCTCGTACATCGAGGGGTTCTATCTGTGTACTGGGTAGCAAAACCTGGGAGCTGCCCACTATTTACCAGGCAGGGTTTAGGGTTTAGGGTTTAGGGTTTAGGGTTTAGGCATTCTAAACGTCTCATCTCCAACACCAAACCCACAAGCCCCAAGGCCACAATCCCTGACAGACCCCTCGTATATCCCTAAGCCTAAGGTTCCATGGACCATCTCATGCACATCTTGGCATGAAAGCTGCCAGTACTTATATTGAAGGAACTCCTTACGGGCTGAAGTTAAAACACGGAAAGCGGTTACCCCCAAGGTTTGGGTACCTCTATTCTGGTTACTCCATGACAATTCAGCCTCTGTTCATGTTCATAGGCTGTGATCGATTTTATCGACTGTGATCATAATTATCCCGGAGTGGTTCCCTTTTTGATCATGTTTATGCTTTTCCGTGATCACAGTTATAAGGCAGTGCTTCTGCAAAGGGGTTTCGCTTGTCATAGGGGCCCGTGATTTATTCAACCTTTGTGATCATAAAATCCCTGTGAATAACGACCCCGTGTCCACGCCGTGCCCTGAGATCACGGCTCTATCACGGGCTACTAATCTTTGACCAAAACTAGAGGTAATCAAACCTTGGGGTAACCCTTCTGGGTCTGGGTGTACTAGCAGTGCAGGGTAATTACAGTTCTTGCGGTGGTACGACCCTTCTAGTACTTACCAACACCCCAACTCTAAACCGTATACACCCAAACCTCTAAACCTCAAGCCCTAAACCTTAAACCTTAAACACTGAACCCTAAACCCCTAACCCTAAACCATGAAGTCCTAAATCCTACGCCCCTAAAAACTAAAGCCTAAGCCCGAACCTTAAAGCCTGAGTTTCAACTGCTCTCCACGGCCTAAACCTCCGCCATAAAACTTCGAACATGTGGGATTTGTTGGAGTCTTTGTCGGGTTTGGGGGTGTAGGGTTTAGGGTTTGGGGGTTTAGGGTTTAGGGTTTGGGGGTTTAGGGTTTAGGGTTAGACTCAGGGTGTTGTGCAGGGTCTGAAATTCAATAAGTTGATAGTTACACACGGGTTCAGGGGTATATTTCCGTACTCCAAAACCTGGACTATAGAGAAATGGAAACCTAAAATCCTAAGTCGGACACGTTATGACGGAAGCCCTTTAACAACGCAGCTTGTGTGGGTTCCATGCTAGCTTGTGAGCTCATGGTCTAAACCTCAACCCGCACCACCGGGACGCTGGCCCACTTCTGCTGATGCAAGTAGATGTCGTACAACTGCGCGAAATGACCTCAGAAGTGTGTTCAGGCTTTAGTGTGTCCTTTTTTGGGTTGGGGGGGGGGCGAGGTTCAATTCAAAACTTAGGCCTTAGAGTGCAACGTGACCTCAGCGAAACTCGCAAACGAGCCTGGGGACCTACAGCTGACTTGAAACACGAAAGACGTCCTAAACCGTAAACCCTAAACCCTAAACCTAAACCCTAAACCCTAAACCCTAAACCCTAAACCCTAAACCCCAAACCCTAAACCGGGATCTGTTCTCTCCAACCTTAGCTCCCTGAGAGGACTATAGACAGGGTTCAGGGTTCAGGGTTTAGGGTTTATAGGGTTTAGGGTTTAGGATTTAAGGTGTCAGTATAAGTACCCATAGGCCCCATGGTAGTTCCTGTTGGGGGTTCATATTTAGACTCCTATAATGTAATCCCAAAAAGGAGCTACTATGGGGCCTATGGGTAGACAAGTTGAAGTTCTGGGGTTAGCGTTTAGACCAAAGTTTCCTTGGTTGCGTCAAAATCCGTGGTACGAAGCATGAGTCTTCAAACCTCAGGACTCTTGAAGTCACAAACGCGAGCCGCGGCTCCTGCCTATTCAAACAGCACATGCGAGAAACAAGGGACCGCGATCGCAGGATCGTCTCGCTGCATACGTGATATAACAGAACAGAATATTAGACTGTATCGAGTGTATATATATATATAATATGGCGTACCCGCACCCTCCAAAAACAAAGTTATTTCAGGAAGACCCTATGAGTGTAAATTAAGCCGGAAAGGCTTGGCGTCAATTTGGCTCCGGGCCTATAAGCCCTAAACCCTAAACCCTATATAGGGTTCAAGACATGTATCAATGGCTGCAGGCACCTGATGCAACTGAGAGGCTTTCGCATAGCTGCTGGGCCTGAGCGAGGTTTCGGTTTACTATGTCGGCCTTAAGTGCTATCCATATGTTTGTATGTGTATGTATATATATATATATATATGTGTGTGTGTGTGACTGTATATATATATATATACACACAAGACAAGTGTTGTGTTGTTGCATGTATGCATGCATGCATGTGTGCATGCAAGCATGCATGCATGCATGCATGTATAAACCTATGTAAGGCATGTAAAGTATGTCTATATCTATGTATGTATGTATGTATGTATGTATGTATGCATGTATGTAATTCGTAATGACTATACATAGAGACACACATACATAATCATACGGATATCTCATGTAGGCCGTATACCGTTTGAGGGATAATCGAGGGATAGTGGTGCTGCCATGCAGTCATGCTGATATTGCAGGTTCACGAGTTTACGGCTTGGGAGTGTTGGGCTTCCTGTATGTCTGCCTGCAAAGCGCGTGCTTGGGACCTGGAGCATCAAATATTTCCAGGTGTGCTCCCTCGAGGCCCGAACCCTGGCCCTTAACCACCACTGCTCAGGCGTACGTGCGACACCACCGCACGCAGGCGGTCGACCAGTTCGGCCCACTCAGGAGACTCCAGATTATTACACTCCAGGTCAAGCTCTTCCAGCGATCCAGCTTCGAAGTCGAAAGCAGCTCGAATCAAGGACCAGAACCGCTTCTTCGACCGGACGCCAATATCGTTGTCACGCAAGGCTAGTCTCTTCAAGCGCTTCAGGCCACGAACTAGGGGAGGCAGGTTGTGCTCCAAGTGGCCTGGTGAGAAATCTCCGTATTCGCTTATGAAGTTCTGAGAGAGGTCAAGATCAGTCAAAGACTCAGACCAGAACAAGAATGCCTGCGCAATCTGCGGCGGCCCGTCCTCGCCCAAGTTCGTGAAGTGGCACAAACCACAGCCTGCTAGGTCAATCTTTGTCAAGGACGCGAATGCCGGCTGGTGCAGAGCCATGAGGAATTCGACTGCAACCTGCGTCTCCTGCAGCTTCAGCTCACACAGCGCTGGGAAGTGCGGCAGGACGTGTTCGACGAGAGCGGGCCAGGAGCGGCCGAGCTCGGTTCCGGAGACGTCCACTGACACCACGCGGCGCCTCAGGTCCTCGCAAGGGCGCTTTTTTGACGCTTCGAGTACCACGCAGCTGCACCGCAACGCAATAGCCAATAGCCGCTTCTCATTTTCATCATCACCATCATCACCACCACCATCACCACCATCACCATCATCACAATCACCATCATGAAACGACGACACAGACCACTAAAGAACGACTACGGCGGCAGCTCTTTGTAGCGGCTCCTCCTCGAGAGCTGAGAGGCCACAGCCCATGTGCCAGTAATAGGCCTGGGGTCCGGCTGAGGGTTTAGGGTACCCTTTTCCCTGTAAATTTGATAGTGATATAATATATATATATATATATAATATATATATATATACACATATATATAACAATAAGAAGAAGAAGAATAGTATTGAAAATATCAGGGAAACCTGCCAAAAACAACAACACAAGGGCACCACAGGGGAACCTAGAGGCCGCGCGGACCGGCCAGGACCGCTTCGCAGGCTCCAAATCCAGGAGGGGCAGGCGGAAGACGCCCTCTTCCCGAGGCTCCTCCACAGGGGCCCTCTTTGGGTTTTCGGTTTTAGGGTTTAGGGTTTCTGGTTTAGGGTTTAGGGCCTTTAGGGTTTAGGGTTTAGGGCCTTTAGGGTTTTGGGTTTGGGATTTAGGGCTTAAGGTCTTTAGGGTTTAGGATTTTGGATTTAGGGTTTAGGGCCTCTTGGGTTTAGGGTTTAGGATTTAGGGTTTGGGGCTTTTAGGGTTTAGGACTTAGGATTTGTACCATCAAATGGAGGGCATGGTCCCAAATATCCGGCACTTAAGGTCTAGCGGAGGGTAGATGGAGGGTCTAGGAATGATTTGAACCCTGAACCCCAAACCCCCAAAACCCAACTTCCTCAGGCTCCTCGATGTTAACCGCTTTTGAGGTGGGGACTGGCAGCATTTTTCGACCATTTTCGGCCCTGGGACCTCTTGACTTTGCTTTCGGGATCGTCGTACGGTTGATGGACAAAATCCTGCATGACCTTATATACCCAAACTATGGGGTTTATGGTACTATACTATATTTGGGTCATGCAGAATCTTGTCCATCAACAGTAGTGTGAGAGCCCGGCCTTCCCCGTAAAACGATCAGAAACTGCACCGCCAACCCTACTACCTAACCTCAACCACCACAGCGACATCAAGTGGTATGGTTCGGCGCTTTCGGGTCCTGAATCGAACAGAGGGCCTTGGCGACGTGGTCTCCCAAGCCGTAGTCGATCTGACAACCCGGCTGTCTCGCGGCCTCCAAGGCTGCCACCGTGCTCAAACCGGCATCGATCGCAGCAAAGACGAGCTTCTTCAAAGACGGCAGCTCTTTCAGCAATCTCGGCAGATACCAGGAAGCCAGCTCTTCTTTTTCTGCATCGAAACCACGGACCAGGGCCTTGTCGTTCAAGTGCAGGTCCAGAACTTCCAAGGCCGGCAAAGTCAGCAAGCTCACGAAGAGTTCAGACGAATGGGGCGGCAGTGCACCAGAGCCCCGATGCAAGCCATGGAACGAAAAAAATCCATTGCAGGAGAGGTTCAGGTAAGTCAGCTTTTGAAGTTTGGGCATCGCTGTGCTAAGCGCCCCCATGCAAGTGTTGGTGTACCCCAAACGGTTGCCGGAGAGATCCAAGGATGTGAGCTGCGGCATATGTGACAGCAGTGAGACTAAGTTAGCTGAGTCTTGCCGGTCCACGACGCGGTCCATCAGCGCCATTGGCCGAAGCACGCCGCGAAGGCACAGGACCGTGCACTGCAACCTCCTATCAAGAACGGCACGCGAGAGCGCATTCAACTGAGAAGCTGACATGACACCGCTGCTTTCATCGCCGCGGCTGTCCTTTAGACACGGATCGTCATCTTTCGCACCCAGCGAGAGCTCTCGGAGAGATCCAAGGGCGAAGCTCAGGCTTCGCAGCCCATCGTACGGCTCCTTCAACACCTGCAAGAGTTCGACAGCCTGCTCGGTTTCCAGCCACGCAGGCTGCGGCTGCAGAACCACCTGAAGCTCTATAGAAGACAGCTCTGAGTCAAAGGCGAAGGGTTGAAGGCTCCAGTCCTCGAAGGTTTCGCCTTTCCATGTCAACTGCAATGCATCCCAGGAGATTCCAGCAGTCGCCCCCAGCGCTTCGACCAGCATCCGCACAGAGACATCCCGTGGCACATCGACCTTTGCCAGCTCCCGGCCCGCCAAGGAAAAAGCGGTGACGCCGATCGTCGAAACCGTCGACATGCTCGAGGCCACGCAGGAAAGCAAAGTGCAAGTGAGCCTTCCTACCTGCACAGCTGCAAACGGAGTCTTCGCCTTGATATAAGAACACCAGTCAGACACCACACTCAGGCATTGCTACTGCAGCAACTCGCAATGCTACAGTGCGCCCATCAGAACATTCTGACGACGACGACTATACCACTACCACGACCACGACCACGA